GAGCGAGAGGAGGCGAGGGCGGGAGAGAGAGAGAGAGAGAGAGCGAGAGAGATAGAGAAAGAGAGAAAGGAGGAAGATACAAGGAGGAGCTAAGAATCATAGTCATAGTCATAGTCATCATCATCATCCTCGTTTTTGTTTGGCATGGGGGCTGGGGGGGGCGGTGCGATGCTCATCATTGAAGGGTGGGGGGCAAAGGCCATGGCACCCTGGGGCTGTGCTGGAGCCATGCTGCCCATTGAGACCATGTTTCCCATGTGCATGAACTGGGGTTGCACATTCGAGCTGTGGGGGGACAGAAAGAGGTGTAAAATTAAATGTGCTCCTGAAAAAGTACTACCTATTAAAAAAATCATCAAGTAAGGAAAGTCAGCAAAGTATTTCCATAGTCTTAACAGTTTGTTTTGAATCAGAATCAAACAAAATTTGTTGTGCCACACCAAAAATGATACATACATACACTCAGTCAGCACTCCTCACTCACATTTATCTGATTTAAAACATAAATCAAAAGTGACCCCTAATAAAAATGGACAACATAAGAACAAGTACCCATATGAGATATCAGTTATGTACTCATAATAAGTGGTGCTTGTTGATCTTTCTGACATTGCAGAGTAATGAAAATAAGATCAGTTGAGCAATAGCCTTTAGAAAGAAGCTGTTTTTCAGCCTGGTAGTATGTGCTTTCATGGCCCTGTAGCACCTACCAGAGGGCAACAGTGAAAAGAGCTGATGGGAGGGGTGTGTACTATCCTCAAGGATACTGTTAGCTCTGCGTAAACAGTGCCTTCTAAAGATGTTCTCCACTGAAGGCAGAGCCCAATGATTTTCTCAGAAGTCTTGATGATTCTTTGGAGTATTTTCCTGTCCAACTCTGTGCAGTTTATGTACATTAAAACTCTCTTGCACAGTGATAAAAGGCTTTGGGTAGTTTTACAGACAGGCTGGCCTTTTTGAGAGCTCTCAGAAAACAGAGGCGCTATTGAGCTTTCTTAGTTATAGCCATAGAATTGACAGTCCAGTCGAGGTCCGCACTAATGCAAGTCCCTAGAAACTTAAAACTGGAGACCCTCTCCACTTCCTCTTCTTTAATGAACAGAAGGGAGAGAGCCTCCTTCTTCCTAAAGTCAAAGATTATTTCCATTGTCTTCTTGATGTTCAGTGTGAGGTTGTTATCTGTGCACTGTTCCACCAATTTGCAGACTTCCTTCCTGTAGACAGTTTCATCTGCACATTTATTGACTGTATCTGAAGAGTATGAGGAGGTGCAGTCAAGTGTCTAAGAGAATAAAGCAACAGAATTTGACCATCTGTGGTCAAATGGACAAAAAGTCTTTAATCCACATACAGGGGGTGGATCTGAAACCCAAGTCCAAGAGTTTGCTGACCGGTCTACTGGTGGTGATGGTATTAAGTGGACTGTCAGAAAATCAACTGGCATGAATTTCAGTTATGATTTTGACCACATTAACATTGTTATTAAAGTGGAAAAGAGCGACAGGAACATATTTCTGGACATTTAAACATCAACAAAAGATAACTGCATATGATGCAAGATTTAAATTATGACCTATTTAAATTGATGATATAAAATGTCGGGTAGCCATATGGATTTGTCGGAAAAACAAGACAGGTAGTACACTTCTTTTCTCCAAAATAAGGAGAAGACGACGACAAACTAAAGGGGGCTGGGGCTGCCTTCTACTGTAATGCACACTGGCTGACAACAACAACAAAAAAAAAAAAAATACTAACAAAGGCTAGAATAGAAGAGCCTCAGTCGATCGACAAGTCTCGCAACTAATTGCTATTGGGGGCAGCCCTAATTTTAAAGTCTGAGAAATTAATACTCTTTTAAATGCTTCATAGACAAATGTATATAAATAATGTTCAGTCCTATCACCACCTCCTGCACCAACAATAAAACATTCTGTAGCCAACTGCCCGACAATCAATCAAAAGACAATGTTCTCATCTGTTTAATACCTGTGGATCAAATACCAAAGAAATCTTGTAGGCAATTGATTTTCATAAATTAAACTTGGCTTCAGTTCCCTTGTCAGAACACAACTCTACTGAGCTGTGAAGTTCTTATTCTCTGTCTTGCCTCAAAAAACACTTAAAACTGCATGTGCTCGAGTCACTGCAGACCCACTCAGGAATTGTAAAGATGGACACATTGTGGCAGTAAACAAGACTCAATCGATTTGAATGAGTTCTGAGCTGGGCTCGGGTCCTGATCACTCTTTCTGAGTGGACCTGTGGATACCTCTAGTCAGAACACACTTGACCAGCAAGAATGTATGTACAGTTGCAGGATTCACTGATATATTAACGTGTCACCATATTTGATTTTTCAGATGAACAAGTGGATTAAATGCTTATTTCTGGGTCACAAGAGATAGACTGTGATACCAGATGTGAGGCGTGATCTTGTCCCGAGGGTGTCTAAAAGAGCATGTCAACACAGATGGTCCAATGTTTGTACCTGTGGAACCTGGATGCTGCCTGTAGATTTGTGCTTGACTGAGAGCCATCCTCTTCGTCCCCGTCTGTTTCGCTGTCTTCAGAGTCATCCTGATTTCATCACAAGGAACACAACAGTGAGTCTCAGTAAATCAGTGAAGCTGCAGACAGCTACTGGCTTTTGCATGCAAACCAGCTCCCACCTCTTGCTCCGACTCTGTGCCAGACAACTTCTTGTCCTTGGCTTTGGAGCTGGCCCCACCATTCTTGCGTCCGGATCCTGGTTTTCGACCCCTTCATTTAGAAAACGTATTAAATATTAGAAAGTCATTCTACAGCTTAAATCTGCTGCACCCAAAAGCAACATTAAAATCAATAGAGATTATTCGAAAGCAGAGAACAGCATGACTGATGCTGCTGGTGGAAATTACTTGAAGCCATTTATATTCAAAGATGCTGTGAGTCCATGTGCCTCATCTACACAGCTGAGACAAAAAGTCTAAATATTAGCAAATTACAACCACTTTAAATTGACTCAATTTAATCAACTACACTGTTTAGTGAAAAAAAAGACTTCATACTGATTTAATTTGTGCAATTCTCCACCAGACTCTCTGCTTCAATTTAGCTGCAGTGCCACTGTTTGATTTGACAGCCAGTACTGTTTTCTTTTCTCTATTCCTCAATAATTAGTTCTTGCTCTATGGAGCTGAAAAAGGGCCTGCTCTTTGGTTTCTTGTTTTTGTGGTTAATCTATAATCACAAAACAAAATGGAAAAAGTAATAAGGTAGCATTGCATGAATGACAAACATTTTGCTTTAGTCAGTTTCAGTTTACAGTAATGGTGGTTTCCGGGGAAAGAAAAGATGTCCATGTAAAGAGTGCCATCCAGCTTGTGATGACTGATTTATTTCTTCCATACAACAGTGTGGGTGCATGCACTTATCAGCAATGACAGAATGATAAACTGACTAATAAAGTGGTAAAACAGATTAATGGGTGAAACACAAATGCATGATGTGGTGACTGGATAGCACACATGGGTATGTGATATAGGGCCTGGCAGACCTGAGCTTCTTGGTGTCAGCATCTAAGTGTTAACTGTTTAATTCCATCTGGTAGTCATGGTGCTACACAAACAGGCTGGTGTGTGTACATGTATGGCTATATAGTGCAAGGACCAGTTTGGGAGTGAGAACATTTGCGGAAAGTGAGAATATTTTGAAGGGCTGGACCAGAACATCCAAATATTCATTTGCTGGGTAGGTAATCGGTTTTCAGTTTTAGGAGGAAGTGTTGCATTGAATTGCATACAGTTGTACAGGTGCACCTAATAAAGTGGCCGGTGACTGTATACTGTAAAATATGCAGCAGCCGCTTCTGTGGCCTATATTGGCCAGCCCTACCTGCGAGGGATTTTTTCAGCTCCCCCCTCAGTGTGGTTCTCTTCCCCATCACCCTGCATGTCCGGCACTGTTGCCACCAGGTCTTTTAAGAAATCAAACTGTTGCTCCAGCTCGATGCACTGCTTTCTGTGAACACACGCACACACATTTGATCAGCACACCATTTTTCCCACAGACTAAAAACACATTCTGGATCACACATTAAGATTCTCTTGGCAAATACATCTTACTTATGGCCAGAAGTACTTTCAGATACACGGGATTTGGCAATGTATTGCAAGTCCATTCACCAGTGCTAAATATCAGCAGTGCAAGTACTTCTACAATAGTAATAAAGGATGTCTTTTAAGTGTCTTTATCCACAACCAAAGGAAGCAAAGGTGCAACACATTTTCAGTTACATGTATCCAATCATATCACAATTTTAATGTTATTTCCTGTTTTATCCAGCCCTAATTCACATTTTTTTTAAAAGACAGCCAGAATAAATTGAACAGACAGTGCCTTAGAAACACAAAGCAGTTCAACTCCAGTGCAATGTAAAATAGGGTTTGTTAATCAAGATACAGACAATCACAAAAACTTACAGATGTGATGTTGTCATTGTCTTTGCATTCCTAGACTGGGTGACTTGACAGGCCTTTGTCAGCAATGATTCCAAAAAAAGCTCCAGGGCTCTCGCTGGCATCGCTGTTGAGGAAAGTACTATACAGCAGGTATTGTGCTGTTGTACCCGGTACTTTTTACCATACTGACTCAGAGACGAGGCAGTCCAAGTAACTACAAAACAGTGCTGATTTATTCCATGAACACAGGCAAAAATTAACATTACACGCTCAGGCATCTTGCACCTCCAACCTGCACGCAGGCAGATGAAAGATGAAAAGACCCTGAACCCACCAGGCCTATACATTATATCCCTTCGGTTGGGCTAGCCCCATACTACACAGAAACGTCAACCGAGACGTCTCTCTTACCAGCTTTGCAGCTGGCCATAGCAGTAGTCAAAACATAAAGCAAATCAATGTGTGTGTGTCTGTTGGTTAAGTGGTGTGTAACTAAAAACATTCTCACAGACTTCTAGTAACATGTCGTGACTTAAACATAAGAACATATTATGGCTAAGGCTACAGTTATACACATCATAATAATAATATTAACCATCCTGTCTGCTGACAGTCATCAACTTTTCTCTCTAGTTATCCTTGACCAGATGTACCCTGTAGAAACTCATAAGCAGGCCTAAGCATTTAACAGTCTAACTAGACATCCTATCTCCACTAAACATTTCTAATACATAAAGTATCTATCCAATTTCTATCTGACTAAAAATACCTAACAGTGCCCTTTATTACAATGAAACAAGTTTCACTGTAGTAAATTTCTTTTACAGTGATAGAAAACACTGGGAAAGTAACCAATTTTGCCACTGGAGAAGCCTGGATCATTTTTCTGGTTAAATGACTTCTCTTATTAAATTCTTGCTGATATGATTAATAAAGGTATTATTTCAGGTCCAAACCAGAGTAATAGTTTGAAGTCCCTTGACTGAATAAAAAGTAGAGTTCTGATAAATCTAACACCCTATGCATACTGATGATCAAGACCTTGGGATTTGCACAGTTAATACATCTGACAAGAAGGATACAAATGATAACAGGTACTGCTGCAGCCACTTTGCCTATTTCTTCATCTGTCTGCATAATCTTCTTTATCCTTGCCTGCAATGAGAGAGGTTTTAGCTATAAGTGTGTGTGTACAGGCAGTCCATGTGGGTGAAAACAGTGGCGCTACAAAGTTTTACTGTATACAACAAAAGACCTTAAGATAGCTTGCTATGTACAAAAACCAAGACCTGTTAACTGAAACATTAAGTTAGTAAAACGCGGTGCAACACATTCTTGATGACAGAACTATCATAGCATGTATGTTTAAAATGCTTCATCCCCGTCCTGTTGATCAGATTTACTAAGGTGTGTACAGATGGTAACTATAAAGCTTGTTCATTTTGATGTAACGTTATAACAGATTGCTCAGACTTGCCTATAAGGTTCCATTTCACTTAGCTTGTTATGCTAAAAACAGCGTTGATTATTGGGAGTTGCTAGCTAACTTTACGCTACGTCGCACGCATTATATATACCTAAGAAAACACTGAGATGCAAGGCAAGTTAGCTAATTCAGTGACACCAATTTACATTTCTGTGTTAAATGGCTTAATATGCAAAACAGGCCTAATCACATGAAAGCTAGCTAGAAGAATTAGCGTTCTTTCGTACAGTTTGCTAACATTAGCTAGTGGTAATACCGGTTCATCAATGTTTAAACTTACCGGAGGGAATCTGGCGTTGTATTTCTTCTTTTTGCTGGGCATAATTTATTTACCTGGATGGCTAACGTAAAATAAAAATGTATATATTTTGGATTTTAATTCTATCTCATAAATCACATCCACCGCGTACACATCGGGTAGCTACAGCTACCCGGCTAACTCTTTGGCACGTCGTCCTAGCGCCGCCTGATTGGAGCACACGGTGTTCCGCAACTTTTACAGGAATATAGTGTGATCAGATAAAATGCTCAATTAATTTTGAGCTATTAATTCAGAACCGCTGTATTTGATAGCTACACAAAATAAAATGACAAATCAATACGTGCTTGCATATTTGTTGATGTACACAACCGGATGAACAACGTTAATAATTTCTGTACGTGAAATGCGTAAAAATACAACTAAGTTAACAGCTTTCCTGTGTTATTTGTGCACTGATTTTTTTTTTCAAAAGTATAACCTTGGTCGATAGGCAAGGCAATATGCGTTGAATAAACTGCCAGACATTTGAATCACGCTGACTTAGTTTTTCATCTGGAATACCGAGGAGCGTACCATCTTGTGCGGCGGAAGTACAACACTCGACCACCAACAGCAACATCTACCAGGTGGGACTTGTGATAAATGTTCGAGTTTCTGTTGTTCAAGCAAATTGTGCATGTTATAACGTCAGTTGTCATCAAGAGCGGACTGCAAATAATCTTTATCAGAATTAGACAGGACGCCAGTTGTCGATTGGCAAAATGGCTAGCGAGCCGGCTAACTAGGCTACATTAACGTCAAGCCTGGAGCCAAGCAGTTAGCCTAGAAATGTTTTCCACGTGTTTACTGTAGACTGCACACAAGCAAAATAAATGGCAACTTGTATATTTTTAAAGAATCCAAGGTGGACAAAGCAGTAAGATATCGAACAAGCGTTGCTAATGTAACAAGCTAGGTAGCAACATGAGATAAATATCTGCGAGCAATCTAGCTGTCCATTTCGGCGTGGAAGTACTATAAACATACACAGGGGGTGCACCTGTGGTTTAAATGCAAATATTAACCCACAACACCGTCTTCGTGTCAACAGCCTTACACTGACAGCGATATGGAGGAGGAAGATGCCCCTGCCGATGGCGAGGTGGAGACCTCATTTGCTGCGGACTACTATGCCGCTGAAGCCTTGGCTGCGGACCTAGACCCCTGGATAGTGTTTGACTCGAGGAAAACCCCCAGATCCGAGTTTGATGGCTGGTTGGAGAGCAACAGGCCCTCACAGGTGAATAGATTCGGTGATCTGGAAGGTGGTGTCAGCCCCGTCGGGTGGATTGCTGTGCTGGGCCCAAACCATGGCCCCAGCAGTGGGGATGTCATAGGTCTTCAGGAGAGCTGGGAGAAACTCCTGGCCAGTGGCCGGCCTGTCACTTTCCAGACAGTGAAGGAGTTGGCCCTTAACCACGGGGTACTCTCGGGCAAGTGGCTGATGTACTTGGACTCTGGTTTCAAGTTGGACCATGCATGGGAGTGTGTGGCCAGAGCAGTCCTGGATGGCAAGATCACCTCGGTTAAAGTCAGCCCCTATGTTCCCAAGGGAGATAGACGGCACGTAATTTGTGCCTATAACCACAACTTTGCTGATGAGAGCGAGGTTATAAAACTGGACTCTGTCATCCGTGCCACAGGGGTCAAATGCCCTCTAGCCTACAAGCCAGATGCATACACTTACCTGGGAATCTACCGGAACAACCGCTGGAAGCTTTGCCCAACCATATACGAGAGTAAATTTGACCTAGAGTGTGTACCCAGGCGTTCCCACATCATCAACAAAGTCACCAATCTTGAAGTAACATAAGCCTTTCAGAACAAGAGGATAGCTCTGCAGGATGGGCAAGTGAAAAAGGCACTTAGTGATCCCATAAGTTGGGCTGTGAATTAAACCTCATCTTTATAACATTTTGAGTCTGGTTGAGTTTTGATTTCAAGTTGATCCTGTTGGCAAAAAAAAAAAGCACAATTTTATTTTGGGCTCATGTAATCGTGCATATTTTTTAAGTGATCTGAAATGTCATTTTTTTGTACAGAATATATAGTATTTATAGCACTTATGCTTACTTGATGGACAAGTTGGCTGAAGAAATCTTGTTTGCACTTGATCAGGGAAAGTCTGTATCCAATTAAGCATAGCTTTTTGACTAAATACATTTGTCTGGCTTTATTTTTCTGCTTTGTACTGATTCATGATTACAGAGTTGCCAAATAAAAAATAAAAAAACTAATCTTGAATACCATATTGATATTTATTGCCAAATAAGTGTTTAGGATTTTGAAAGTCACAACCATTCATGACAGCAAAAAAAAATTCTATTATAATCTCCTCATAAAACTGTATGATTTTATGTGAAAGCATCTTTTAGCACAGCATATAGCAAGCTTGCTTACTTACAAGTCAGAAACAATTAAACTGCAGCTATTATTCATACAATAGCTAGAAAAACTGAGGAGAAATGAAGAAATTATAGTGGTAGGCAATCCAGCAGCTGAGTGCAATGTACTGTATGAACCTCTTGTACAGTGCTATAAGCATGTACCTGTTAATGTTGCTTGATAGTTATTTACACGTAGATCTTCATTTGGTTCTTGACACATTACTACATTTTGTTGAGATGCTCAACAAAAGCACCTGTATAACAAAGGTGATGTTACAGTCACCCCTGACATATAGAAAACATGGGGATATTTGATTAAAAGACATTATTTGCATAGACTTGTCTCTGGGTCAGATTAAATTCTTTTGAGAAATAGTTGATTTGTTTAAAATAAAAAAAGGCAGCCCTAACACATTTGACTTGGCACTAAAACTGACCAAACCTACCAAGATTGCTACAGTGGCAGTGCAAAAACCATTCTTAAGTTCCATAAGGAAAACATTTAAAGAAATGCTTTTTGCAATGCTGTTTTTTTAAAAGAAACACTTGTGACAGGATAAATATCCCACCATCATGTTGACGCTGTGGCTGAAACAGTTAATTCTTTAGCATGGGTTCAAGACTGATGAAATCCAATTATGTTCAGTCCTGTGTTTTACCATTTGTCAGATAGAATGTATTATGAGGCCCGGATCAACACGCTAACTGAATACCGTAAATAGTCTTTGCTGGCATTTCAGTCCGCGTTCATGGTGACAGTTCAACTACATTTTGTTTCCTCCAGCCCTTCATATTCACTTGTTTCCTTTTATGTCTTTGGCAACAATAAAAGACTTCAGAAGGCTGAAGGGGCAGTACAATGTGGTCTATGTGAATGTATAGATTAAAAAAAAAAACAACACACAGACAAACTTTAGGTTGGAGGTCCTGACACAAACCCAACTTGGCTTTCGCTGTTAAAAATGGAAATAAGGCGATCCTCATCGGCGGACATCAACTCATCAAACTCATCGAGCACTGCAGACCGCTGGTTGCTGGATGCGAGGACAACCATGTTCTCATTCTGGAGCAAGTTGACGATGCTGTTGGGGTAATTCATCCAGGTACTTCCTGGGTTGCCAGCAGGGTCAGAAGTGTTCTGGGATACTGCTCTGTTCTGGGCAGCAGTGGTGGAGCCGTGTGGGGCAGCTTGCTGACACGAAGCTTGAGCCAACATTGAGGTGCCATTTTCACCCTCATTCATGAGAGGGGGGGTCAGAAAGTCCACCAAGTCATCCATATTTAGGCTGTCCAGGGTTCCTGGGGCCTGCTCTTCAGAAAAGCTAGGGAGCTCTGGGATATCGTCCGCGAGTGGCACATCCACTCGCAACTGGGAACCCTGGAGGGGGAAGGTGCTGCTGGCCTTGGAGACTGTGCTTGCTTGGGAAGCTGCAGGCTCCTGGGTCATGCCCGAGGAAATGTTGGGGAAGAATTCATGAAGGTCCATCAAGCTGACAGTTGAGTACTCTTGGTTGGCAGTGGAGGTGGGAGTAGAGAAGGAGGAGGATGGTGCCTGGTTCATTGTGAAGCTGGACACTGGAGTGGCTTTGGGCTGGGGACCCAGGTTTAGGCTCTCCATGATCTTCCAAGTTTGGTTTGTAGTCGCAGCAGAGATAGAGGGGGAGGCCTCTACCTTGTGCTGGACTGAGAAGAGCTGGCCTGGCTGATTGAATGAGTAGGTGGGCTGGGGTTTCACTCCAATGGCAGCAGGGGGCACCACAACTCCTGGGGATACACATTACACAAACAACAAGCAATCTGAGTTATAACACTGAAAATCCCTGTAGTATAAGATCGTCTATATATTTTGAAAATGACCTAAAAATCATCAGTTTAATGTTGTATGACACTAACTTACTGTTAGGATTTTATTGGTGCATCTCCATGTTCACCAAAATACAAAAGGTGTTCATACAGCAATAATAAATTCACATATTAAATCTAGGGATTTAAGTAACAAATACATTTTTGACTAAGCCATTTATCCTCTGGTCTATAAAAGGAAATCAGAAAAATGAAAATCTTAAAATGCCTCTTTTTTTTTTATCTGACCAAGTCTAAAACCTAAATGTATTCAATTTAGAATATTAAACAAAAATGCTCTTAGACTGGAGAAGCTGAAATATTTGTCCTTGACAGAAAAACTACTATATAAAATGACTTTTGGTCCAATAAATTCACAGCCAATCTCTGCAGGGACTGAAATATGTAATATGAAAAATTTAAACTGCCTCACCAGCTTGTGCATTGATTGATGGAGGTTTGGCTGTAACCGTTCTTCTTGCTGGGCTTAGGTGCCGTCTATCTTGTGGAATGGACACTGAAATTCCAACAGACAGGGTTACATTAATTTCAACTACAAAAAACCTTTATACTATGGCAGGATGATAGAAAAGGAATCTCATCGACGTACCACTAGACAGCATAGGCCCCAGCTTCAAGCTCTGGAACATGTCTCCTGTACGCTTTCTCTTCTCACTCAGCCTGTATTCATCTACAGGGAACATTTTTAAAGCACATTTATATGGCTGGGTTTGTAGAGCTGATCAACAAGTTCATCCCTTGGGTATTTTGAGAAATGTTAAACATCTTTCATTAGTAACTCATACGAGATCATATAAAAAACACAGGAACATTGTGTCATACCTGGGTCAGCTGGCAGGTACTGGAAGTCCATCGGTTCGCTGACCTCGCGGTCAGAGGGGCGGCGGAGCTGCATCTTGACTCTAATGGGCTCAGCGAGGTTAGTGTCACGGTAGGGTGGTGTGCGGAACACAATGGCCACCTGCCTGTGGACATCAGCTTGAGAGAAAGTGCCCTTCCCCTCCCAGGAGTCCTGGAAGAAACGCACCTCGATGTCCTCTGTAGGGGAAAAGAAAACAGGAAATGTAAGGAGAGACTAAAGCAGAGGACTCCCCACTTAGAAGAAGAAATATCAGACATTGATTACACACAGAGGCATTTGTACTTTTACTCTTAACAGAGAGCAAGAGCTCCTAAGGCCCCAAGGGGTGTTGCATCGTTTCAGCTGCTATGCACCTCAAGGTTTCACAGCAGCTTACAAGCCTTGTAATCAGCTTCAGCTGTCAAATATCTAGAGCACTCAGAGAGCACATGTACCTCCGCCAAGGCACAACATTCACTCACATGGGTCCCTTGTGTAAAATGAAATCCAGAACAACACAAAGTGTCCTAACATCCTTGATCTGAATCAGCTCTGGATCATCTTTTAGGGTATGATAGGCAATTATACTGTGCATCTAACTTGAACATTTCAGGGTTCTATCTTCATCATAGGCCAAGCTATGGCTGACAGTATGCATTAAATGGGGTTTTTAAATATCAACTTTAAACCGCTGTCAGATGTGGAATCCGGAAAGTTTAAAGAGTAGGACTTTATCAGCAGAAAACTGTTAAGGTGAATCTCATGATCTACCACAACATTAAGATATACCTTTAGCTTTTAAAAAATAATTAAACAATTTTCAAACTCATTACATGGATATAGCAACCACAGAAACACAGTGGTCAGCAGTTACAGTCACTCTACACCCAAATTGCACGTTGGTGATGTATTAGAAAACTGGGAAAATGAGAAGTGGACATCAGAATAGAGGAAGAAAGCTTCAAGTTTATGATAAAGGTCATGGTGATAACATGACTACTATGCACTGCATTATTCAGTTCAATTCAGTCTTATCTGTATAGCGCCAAATCACAACAAAAGTTGTCTCAGGACACTTTACAAAGTAAGGTCTAGACCAGGGGTGGGCAAACTTTTTGACTCGTGGGCCACAATGGGTTCTAAAAAAAAAAACTAATGGAAGAAACCTCTGACAGACCCCGGCTCTTGGTGAGTGGCCTTCTGCCTCGACCGGTTGGGGTAAGTGGATAGTGGTGAGAGAAAGAAAAGAAAAGCAACGAGACACAACAACAATCAAACACTGGGCAGCTTGATGTGGTAGGTGACTGCTCATCACAAATGTTGAGCATTACAACCAACAGATACTGTGGCTGAAATACTCCTCTTACTGTGGCAAACCTCATGTGCAACGGTGGCAGTGGCCAAAAACATTAATTCTCAGTGGGTTCATCACTACCAGAGACACCTATCACATTATTGTATGAGAACGTGTGAAGTTTGCTAACATTAGCCACCATAAGCTAGTGGTCATGCCAGACCTTGCTAACAATATTGCTATGTTGCAATGTGATATAATATTTATTCCTCAGTAGGAAAACATTCCTTCGGTTAGGTAAAGACTCGTCTGGTCCATTTTGTTTGTGATGGCAAAGACCCCATCTTTTTATTATGTCACAACCTTGTTAAGTCAGCACTTGTGTCACTCACAGTTCTGTCCTTTCAACTGTAAAGAAGGAAACTGGACTATGAATGTCAGTGTAATTTATGGGGTTATCTACTGTATTTAATCATCTCCTCTAAAAAGGATATAGAAACAGTGCAAAAATGAATCTCTAGGTAATCATCAGTACAGTTTATTGTGGAAGCCAGGGTTCTAGTCTGAGATGACTTACTCAAAATAACTCACACTGAGATCTTGTGGGTGTGAACAGTTGACACCTTTTCTGCTCCAGACAGGCTGCATGCTTCACATCTGCTTTGTGTTTATACTGTATTAATGGATCGTTAAATATTGTATGAAAGTCAGATGTGACTGACTTTCAGTATTGTTTCTAAAAAAAACAGTAGGGCCCTTGCTGAAACTGAGGCAAAGTGGCAGAATAACATGAAAGATTATTGTACCTTTTTGTACTTTATCACACAACAGAAAGATTTCATCCCCTCCTTTGCAGCTTCCAGAGTTGCGGTTGACTCGGCAGATCTTCAGCTCAGCTGTGTTTGGGGCCCCTGCAACACAGGAAAAGGATTAATAAACATATACATTTAATGCCAAAGCTAAAGATTATTACCTGCTACATGCAGAGAAATTTGGCAGACAAATCAATGCTACAAGCAAGAAGCAGCCAAACAATCAAGTTGTTTCAGATGTGTAATTGCAAAGTCTTTTGCTTACCCCATTACAACCTGATTCTTACTGACTGGACATTTTTATAAGCTTTGATTATGTACATACTGTACTTTTTCTGTTTTGAATTTCACCACAGGGAGGTGATATGGCATAACAAATCTGAATAATTTACACTGAGCAACGATTGTGGAGATTACAAAAACATTCTCTACTGTGCAAAACGTGGAAACGTCTCGATGACACAGGCACACTAAACCACTAAATACATTTCAAATGCACAACAACATACAGAAAATGTCTAAATGTTTTCAGGTAAAATTCAGGTGCTGAATTTCCCCAAAGGGATCAAGAATAAAATCTAGTGTTGTGAACATTATACAGCATTTAGACAGACTTGTCAGAAATTTCTTATAAAAACAGGCTCTCTATGCTCAGTGTCTCTATAAAGATCTTTGTATTAGGAAAGGTTCTGTGCAACGCAAAGAGGAACAAAGAATATTTTGACAGAATTAAAGGCTTCAGGAGATGTCGAGTGTAGACTCTATACTGTATGTGTGGCAACACAGATCTTACAAAATACATAACATTTATCTTCATGACCAAAGATCCTGGGAATAGCTCTGAACTTATGATTTTTTTTGGGGGGGGAACATGCCAATTAAAAACTGGTCAAAAGACAATGAAGAGCACTAGGTAATTACCATCAACAGCTTTTACCAAACTATATCCCTATTAGCATTTAAGAATCTGCATCAGTTCAACTTTAATATACTCTATCTGTAGTTTTGGGTGCATGTATGCATTGCCCACTTACTGTTGTCATAGATGGGCTGTGATACCACGGGCTCCAGAGGAAATGGCTCCCCTGTTGGCAGAGTTATGGAGGCCTGGAAGCAAAGTCGAACTGAATTCAGGTCAAACTCCTCCTCCCACACCTTTGCCTCGGCAACTGTAGCCAAGAAACAACAGGGAAAGGGTGGGGTGCACAATCAGGCTGCATAGCACTGACACAGCTCTGCATCCTGTGATATCTAGGCTATCAGTATTTACATACACTTCCTTTGCTTGTTTTACTATAGTCATGGCCAAAAATGTTGGCATGTCTATAAGATAACACACCACTCCTCTGAGAAAATTGTTTACTATTCTCATACTTATTTCTTTTGTTTTCATTGGAACAACACAAAAAAGCAGAGAAAAGGGCCAAATCTGATACATTCCACACAGAACTCCAGAAATGGACTGGACAGATTTACAGACACCCTCAACTTAATATTTGGTGGTACACCCTTTGGACAAATAACTGAAATCAGTCACTTCCTATAACCATCAGTGAGTTTCTTCCACCTCTCTACTGAATGTTAGACCACTCTTCCTATGCCAGCTGCTCCAGGTCTTTCAGATTTGAAGGGTTCCTTCTCCCAGCTGCTGTTTTGAGATCTCTGCACAGGAGCTCTATGGGATTTAGATCTGGACTCGGTGCTGGAAACTACAGAACTCTCCAGTTCATTATCTGAAACCATTTCTGGTGCTTTTTAAAGTCCGCTTTGAGTCATTGTCCTGCTGTAGGACCCATGACCTCTGATGATGACCCAGCTTTCTGACACTGGGCCCTGCATTGTCAGAATTCATTGGTAGTATTCAGATTTAATAATGCCATACACACAGCCAGGACATCCAGTGGCTGAAGCAGCAAAGTAACCCCAAAACATCAGTGAACCTCCACCGTGTTTAACTGTATAAAGGGACCATGTGGAATGTATCAGACTTGGCTTTTTTATGTTGTTCCAGCCATTTTCAAACTAGTTTGTTGGTCTTAAGAGTTCATTCAAGCAACAACAAAAAAACATTACTCCAAAGGTTATTGGCACTTTTGGTCATTTTTAGGAAGAATGGCTGAAGTAGTAGCAGCTGAAATTATGACATGAATATCAAATTAACTTTTAAGGCCACTGAGGGACTTTTGGTTTTAACATTTAAAATGAGATTTTATTTATTTATTTTTTACAATTTATATCAGAAATATCAGTTCTAGTTCAGTAAAACTCCAGAGAATATAAAAGTCTTTGTCTGAGTGGCACACTGAGGGACTCTCTCTCTACACAGTACAAGAGCTTTTTACACAGTGACAGATTTAAGAGAGAAAGGGCAACAACAGAAAGTGCTTTGTGTTGTGCAATCATCTGTAACCATAATGACTTACTACTGAAGGGGTTATTATTGGTTTGTAGTCTGCAAGTGATGGCCTCATTCACATCCTTCTTCTTGACACACTGTATGCCCAGGTTCTGAAAACTGAAAGTAAACACAGTCTCAAACAGAAACTACTGACGCATACCTGTACTCACGAACTCTTAGTAGTAGTATTAACATTATGGGTTCTGTATTTCTGGTGTGAACACTCACTCCATTAACCCTAGTTTTAATCTTCTTTGGACAATTTTTACTCCCATAAAAGCCATATGTGAAAATAAAGTATCATCACTATGGATCACTGACCACGTCCCAAGTTTAGAAAACTGGCGAGGAAAAATACTTCACTTTAAGTGCACCACCAAAAATATATTTTAGACAGCCAAAAGCTGATATATTTAAGATTTGTTTCTTACCAATAGGCTGTGCTTTAGTACACTCATATCCACCTTTTACACCCTAGTTTTAATAGTTTGCACTCTTCTAATGATGAGTTTTCTACATTTTTACCTTTTTAAATTAGTAGTTTGAAAGTATTTGATTTGTGTTTTCTGCTGCTGTTTTCCTTTCTTGACCTGATCGTTGAGTTAATTTAGTCATAATTTCTGTTAAACAGACCAGTGGACTTTGTATTATTTCATGACTACCAAATTCTTACTTTAAGTACTGGATGTGCTGTAGCTGTAGCTGTACTGCAGGCTCCCTTTCCACTGGCTGCATTAGTCACCATTTCACCATCTGTTCTAAAAAAAATCGGATCTTTCTATCTCCTAATGATCTCAGACCCGTTTCCAAACTCCTGTGTATTACTACAGAAAGGACAGATAATCTTACTCAAAAAAAAAGAAGCCAAGCCCGGCTTCTGAAAACATCACAGTGCTGAAACAGGACTCACCAAATCTTCTCTTAAATTGCTTCTCAACTCATATTTATTGGATGGTCTTTCAATAACTTGCACTTTAGTGCTTGAGCTCAGTTTGTTTTGTATATTGCATATATTTACTGTTTAGGTTATGACTGTATGGTTATCTGTTTTATGTGAAATATATATAAGAACAAAGCATGCACATATTTAGAGACAATCTAATTAAATTTGCATATCATTTGACTATATTTACTGTGATGTCTACAACAAATATTTCTCATTAACCTCCTCAACTTTATCTCTGCTGTCTGCCTACAACTAGAGATAAAGTGTGCTTTGTTGGGTCCAGGAGCCTTTAACAACACATATTATAATGCAGAGCTTTTATCAAACTATAAATGTCACTGTATGAAAATCCAATTACTAATTTAAACCACTACACAAACAATCTGTATCACAATTACAGCAGAAGACTGCAGTACACTGTTTGTTTGAATTTCATCACTCCTGTGAGAAGACAAACTCCAGTTTCTCTCCAGCCCGATAAACTGAAATGTCAAAGGTGCATTGCATAAGATTTGCCAGATTGTCTGATAAATCCAGTAACATGGGGCAAGACGTGATGTGTCTCAGCTATATTACCATACTACATGACACTCTCCTGCCTAATGTGCTTCTGTTGTTATTCCAGCTTCTTTGCCCTATATTTTCAAAATACGGTCCATAAATTAGCCCAACCTGCCACTTAGCAAAGGTTATAAGAAGCATTTTTCTGAAGCAGCCATTCAAACAGCCAGCCATGGAGGACCTGGCAGCAGATAAAATCTGAAGCAGTGGATGCCAGAGTAAAGAGATGGCATTGTTTTACACAGTGAAAGGGCAAAACCAGGGTTAACATCAGTTTGGCTTGTTGAGAGAGTGTTAAAAGCAACCAAAGGACTCAGATGTGTTAGCATCTAAAGTACCCAGCTACCTACAGCACTGTTTTCCTTCTCAAGAGGCAAACTCAGCTTGTCATTGGGCAATTTATGGTGTTAATGCTGTATTCATCTCCAAACCCAAGACAAAGCTGGTGACTAGGTTCACCAAGAAGACAGTAAACATCACCCCTCACAACAGGTGAAGGCTTTATCTAGGTCAGCCTCTAACAAATGCCACTTTGTTTTGGCATGAAACTGCCCTTTCCCAGATACTGACCAGTCTGATTTTGAACACAGGCACAAGATCACAACACAACATTTTTTGTGTGTGATGTCCATTCCACATGCAAACCACACTTACCTGTGTATTCGTCTCTCTTGGAGGTCAGCCTCATAGTAGCCATGTTTGCAGTCTTTCCCAACCAGTTCATGAGGGTGGGGCTTATACGGTGGGTTTTTTGTTACCAATGAAATGCGAACACGCAGGGGCCCATTGTAGTTATGCACCTGTAAGAGGAGTATTTCAAATTTTATTTTAAGGGCACTTTAGGAGGGCGGACACTTGCTCACAGTCATCTAGTTAAAAAGGGTTGATCTCGCCAACAATACACAACACTTTAACAGTATTTTAGAAAATAAAGAGTCTGTACATTTACCAACCTTGTCAGCACTTACCATTCATTACTAAAACATCCAGTTCAACTGATATTTTTAAAACATCTTCTGAAAATTAAAATAAAAGTTCAAAAACAGTATTTTGACGAAAAAAAAAAAAAACTACATCCAGATGATTTAGTCAACATTTTTTCAACATACTATGACCTGGATATATTTTGACAAACTAATCCTTATTACTCTACTTATTCGATACCTACAACAAATCACAAATGAAAAACATCTCTCCATCACACGTTTCCAAAACCCATGGCAATGTCTTCAGATGCCTTTTGTCCAAACAGCAGAACAAAACACAACGCTATTCAGTTTACTATCGCAGACGGCAAACAAAAGTAAAAGGAAAGAAAAATAATACAAATATTTCTTGATTTATTGTGTCTTGATCTATTTTGGGTACATTTACCTAATATTCTATTTGCACACTGGTTTTTGGAACCTTACAACCACCCAATATGCAGCAATTATTTCTGTGTCAATGTGCCTTAATGATCCGTTACCTGCTTGACCAAATCAACCTTACTGTATGTGTATCCACGTCCACGGATTCTTTTTCTGCCATGTTCTCAACATTACTAGTATACTAACCTTCTATGTTCTGCTACTTCATATTTTCACTTCACTACATTTCAGAAAGAAATACTGCACTACATGTATAATCATAAGACTGCAGTGATCCGTGGTAGGAAATTCAAAAGCTACCCAAAGTACTTCAAAGTATAAGCATAAAAGATAGTTAACAACAGCTCCACCCTTACCAGCTGCAACATTAAATGAACACAATTATACATCAGTAATTATACTTCAATAATTTGATATTCATTAAAGTGGACTGTGCTATTCTGCACAAGGAGTACTTTTACTTTTAGTACTCCAAGTATATTTTGATGCCAATACTTTTGTAGTTTTACATGATACCAACATCCAAAATGTTACTTATCATGCGATAACACTACTTTTATTGAAGGAAACAACGAGTACTTCTTCCACCACTGCAACTAAGTAGTTCAACAGAACATGTATAGTACGAGTATAGTGGGAGTATGGTAAAAAGTAAGAATATCATGTGCCTTGCCCACTCCAACACCTCTTATGTTATGAGAGCTGCATTAAATGGATAACAGCCAGAAAGCATGCAGCAAAAGGTTGGACTTACCTTAATGGCCGGGTGGGTCTTAGTGGTGTCATTGCTTTTCTCTCCGGGGATGCTGCCAGCTGAACGTCCCTCACACTTGTACCTAAACCTCATCCCCCTCTGCTTTGGCTGCTCGATGATCTCTATGTAGGGGTTTGCTGTTTGGACTCCTGGACAGATAAGAGAGAGATTAATGTGATTCACATGCAGTGATGTTTTATTTTGAAAACATGAAAGCACGGTGTTGAGATTGTGAAACAATGCCTGTCTACACTGCTTTACTTCTCTCAGTGTGTCAACAGAGAAATATCTCCGTCAGTTAATCATGAGTACACACAGTGCTGGGATGTGCAGTCATTAAATGTCTGCAGTCAATATTAGCACTGATTCATTAGTCATTTACAGGAAAGAGCTTCTTACCTTGGTTGAATGGGGTCAGGCCCCATCCATATACACCTGTGATGGGCAGAAACAACACAAGTCAAGCTCTTGTTTGTTAAAGAGAAAACAGCTCACCATCTAAAGCAATGATACACAGGACACAGTGGCAGTGTAGATGACAAAAAACAAAATCAGCTTCAGCACATATCTGTGGTGTGGTCTGGGTGGAAATCTACCAGACTGTGCAACGTCCAAAAAGGTCAAAGGACACCGAGATACAAGGACTTCCCAGCTAAATAAAATTACTCACCATAAACTGCCTGTCAAGCTCAGACATAGGAAGAAGTGCAGAAAAAAAAAAGCAAACAATGATTGGCAGGGTGTAACATCAGTGTCACATTACAGGCCTTGATGTGGGAACCCTCCACTGTGAGTGAAGAACAGGCAGCGCTTTAGTATCAGATTCTCGGTTAATGAATTGTTGACATTCTCAGGCAAAAGCTAGGTGTAACACAAGCTCAGGTGTCCAAGGCTCCACACAACAGCACATAAAGCTTGTTCAAAAAGTTGTGAATAGGATGCTTTCCAAGTTATAATTGGTGCTATTCACTCTCAAATAAAAAAAAAAAAGGTTTTCTTTACATTTTAGCTTTTGTCCAGCCAGTGACAAGTACAGATGTTGGAATAAGGCAAAGTAGGATTATGATATCCCTGCTTATTTATCCAGGCTGGATGTTGAGTGAAAGTTGAAAGAAAGTGAAAGTAAATACAGCACCTACCACAAGCTGGCACTCATAAATCAGTGAATAAACCATGACTCACTTTTCAATGTAAATGCCCACACAAAGGCATCGATGTGTTTTTGTGACTGTAACATACATTGTTTATTTCTTCAATATAATCATCACTTTCTATGCATATTCATAAATGAATCCTCTTTATCAGTACTGTCAATCTAGTCTGAAAAGCCTTATGAGGTAGAAAATGTGTTGGAACACAAATCTAACGATGCATTTAAAACTACATAATAAAATATGAGAATTAATTTTTTTTCTTAAACATGGCGCTTTAATAAACTAGAGTGTCACAGGTACGTGATACTAAACAGCCCTAATCTGGCCACAATACATGTAAAAATAGGGCGCGTTATTTCCATTCACTAAAACTGAGGTGGGTGTTTGCGAGCAGCAGCGGTCAATTTATAACATGGAAGATTTCTCATTGAAACGAATGCTATCTGATGGGTCATATGGCAGCTGAAGAGAAATCATCTACAACCACCGGCAAACTTTTAACATGCGATTCATACACCGTACATTTCCACAAATCTGCAGATAAACACTAAATGCTCAGATTCCTGAACGACATACGGTCTTCGTGTCTCTACAGGGCAACTCATCAGGTGGACCTAACCCAACAGGCCTCTTAGCAGCTCTTAGCATTATTTGATCTGCCCAAGTTAGCTACATACACAGGAATACATTCAAACAGTTTGACATGAATTTTAATCAGATCTCGCACCGATATCCAATAAAACAACACACTAAGCTAAACTTCCTTCTGTATGTTAGCTTACTACCCGGGGACAGCAGAATACTCCTGTTAGCGCAAAACCCGACGGTAGCGGGGCTTTCCCTTCTCCGCAAAACAACTCCCTGTACGGTTTCACCTCCAGTCTCTGAACTGAGTACACAGGCCGAGCAAATAAAACCATCTCTTACCAGCCATGGCTGTGTCCAAAATACGCTTATACTCCTCCGTCTACAACCTTGTTTGTCTGTAGTGTGTTTTTGTTTTTCAGGTTAAAAAGATGCTGTAAACACACGACAGCGGGACTCCTAAATACTTCTTGACAGAGCTTCTCCGAGCGTCCTTCGCTCCACCCACACTGTGCACGACAGATAGTAAAACTATCGCAGGTACAATTCGCAGTATCCGGTAAGAACGGCGCAAAAATACTTCACCACGAATAATTGTTGATATGCTTTCGAAATCAACATGATGACTTGATTTTATCACGTTGCAATGTTGTTTTCCAATTAATTCTAATTAATGCCTACGTATTTTAAGTAGCCTAGTTTTTACTGTTGTTGTCACAAATGGTTACACCCGAACACCAAAAAGAGAACAAATAACAAAACAATAGCGTCATAGTCCTGCCAATAATTTAAACCAGTGCACTATTTGATTGCATTAAGATGTTTTATGGTTTGTGTCTCATTGTGTATCATTTTTTGAGTCCTTTGCCACAAGTTTTGCCAATGAAATATGCCGAATAACGATAGTCATGACAGTGTGCAGACAATTGTAAAAAATATTTCTCTGATTACCAAAACAGTTGGAACTAATTTTAATTTAAGGAATACAAATGTAAAAATCAAACTGTACCTTTTATAAACAACCGCAATGAAACCTGTTCCAGTTTTCCTTTCTTTTTTTTTTTTAATTTCCCCTTAGTTTTGTAGCTCTGTATCTTTTTTTTTTCATTTTTTTGTCAATGTTAAAGCACATTATCAATACATGTATCAAATGTAATTTACGCCTTTACATAATAATAATAAAAATAATAAATGTGTGCTAAAATATTAGCTGAATGATAAAGATTACAAATAGTATGCTACTATTTTGAAGGGAGACGATGTCTGTTTCCGGTGCCGTGCTCTGACTAGCTTGATACAGCTAAACCTCTGTGGCTTCTGAATTGCAACTTGCTACTACCCACTCAGTGCGGAAATACCCAGATGACGCACTTGAAAGGAACAGAAAAATACGTTTTGAGTGGGAGAGGCAATAACATAACTTCTGGCTTTAGTCATAACCTGGAAGAGAGCTTAGCTCTCTTACCTTTTCTTCTCTGGGTTTTCTTCTGTAAACAAACTCCTTAAAGTAGAACACACAACTGTAACCCAATTCAGCTTTTAAGTTTTTATGGTATCTTAAAACAGTCACACGTTGACTTAGACTAGCTACACATTTCCATCCGGGTGGTGGCCCACACAGAAAAATCACTGTTCCAGGTTTTAACACTGTCAAGGCAGTAACGTCTTCTGTTTCTTCATATCTGTTATTACTTGTTCATTATTGTAGTTGTTCAACTAAAGAACACTGAATCCTATTATTTAAACTCTAAACAATCATTAAAATGGGTGATTAAAAACTTCACAAAGCACTGGCAAAATTCCGACATATCCTGACCAGGAGATGGCGCTGAATAAATGAGGATCATGTCCTGTGTAAACATCTATGATCATGATCTGCTGTAATTGCAATTCTGGGCGTTCGTCCCTTCTTGAGACTGGGCCTTAATCGTGTATTTTTTAAAATCTTTTTTATTCACAGTTCCCTTCGCTTCAAATGTATTTTAACAGGTTTATAAATACATTCATGTCTGCACAGATTATCATTCTCATGGTGATCAGAAATCATAGAAACCTAAATATTAAATTGTTTGAAAAAGTTGAGAACTGAATTTATTTCAGTTTTTTATTTTTATTTTTTTAAGCAGCCACAATAACCTTGTTGCAAAGGCTGTGGCAAAGCTGGTGCCTTCATGCACTGTCGGAAATCACAAGTACTTTTTGAGAAAATAACAACAAAATGGCGCAGAAAGCCAAGGGGAATGGAACTGACCATTCCACTGACTGGGCTGAATTCCCATCTTGTGTCATTTAGGTGCCCCAGTTTCGTCTCTGGGTCTTAAGTAACACAGCTGTAGGTCCGTTCGTAAGTTTCAAATGCTGAGCACACAGCTAATGGCGTCCTTTTAGATAAACAACCTTTTTTGAAAAGTTGGAAATTTTTATGATTTTGCGTGCATCTTTGTTATTCTGCAAACATCCATCCATAAACAGAGGTGAACTCAGGTAATTTGGGACATCAGGTAAAATGAGACAAAGACTTGACATCTTGGGCTTCCTAAATATTAGCAGCCATTAAACAGTCAGTGATCACCATACATTTACATGAACCAACCAATATGAATGGTCTGAGATAACTAGTGGTAAGAGGAAAATTTCAAAAAGTCACTGGTCCCAGAACTTGCAAATGAAGTCCTGTGGCATGCTGATGTTCACTTTCTGGTACTGCAGTTAAAACAATAAGGTTATAACACAAAAAATGGATACAGGATGTGGCGTTGTATTAATAGTTTGAACTGTAATCAAAATATTTAACAATACACTTTATTTTTTATGGAAAAAGGATTTTGAGTGAGTGACCCATGCATCAGCAAAACTGAGACAAATAATTCATCTACAACAAAACATTTTTCTGCAGCGAAATCTGCATGTTTCTAGACTACCAGTCCCATAAAATCATGAGTTACTATGCTATTGTGTCATATCACAGACATTTTTAGTATTTTGGCCATTTAAAAATAATAAAAATGATTCTGTGAGTATGTGTTAGCAATAAAGATGCTGTGAGTACATGTCAGCCACAAAAGAGCACCAATTACATATATTCAAAGCAAAACCTTTAAAAATCAAGTTAACTATAAAAAACAAACAAATGTGCATCCCTGGATATATGTAAAATATCTTACAGAGACAAAATGACCACAAAGCACAAGCAATGTGGGACCTGGTTCCCCGAGAGCTGTGGTGAAGACAACGGGATCCTGGATAATGCTGGATATGTTTACAGAGAATATTTAGAGGGGTGAAGATTTAGGCAATTATTGTTGAGATTTGTATATGTTTTAATTAATTTAAGTTAATTCATTGGATGTTTACAACAAGGGTGATGTGACAATTGCTCAACTCCTTACAGACCCGGTTAACCTGTAAACTTTAATGTTTTAATAGTAATTTAATGAATTAATGACAGAAATTATCAATGCATTTAACAATTTAAAAATCAAAAAATCATGAAATACAATTGTTCTTCAATTAAGCTCAATTGTTTAGTCGATTTCTTTTTAACTGTTACTGACTGTACCAGCAAGTAGTCGTTTTAAAGACCAAAGTATTGTTTGAATTTGGATTCATTTAGTGGGCCTATTGTTAATGCTAATGATTAATCTGCACTTTAGATGTTTATTTAAATGCAGGACTTCTTCCGTGGTGTTGTTAGTTTTACCTAAAGCGATGGCTGCATCTCACATGCACAGAGAACATACAGCCTAGGGCCCATTCAGAAATCTGCTATATGTCATTTGGAAATTGTCAGCATACTAATGTAATTTATTTAGCCTACTGTTTTAATATGACAAACTCCATCTGCTGAAGAAGACTGAGATCCCATTGAAAGCACCGGGAAAGAACCTAGGCTAGGCTAGTAAGTGGAGCGAATGGCAGGCAATTGCCGATATCTTAAATTATAGTTTTGTCATAAATACATTGCAGATATATTAAATCTAAGTCCTGTCCACCTTTTTAAATGAATCAAGTTTTCCGTCAAACGATGAAGAGCATTACCTATCACTCTATGAAAAGGGAAGCACCTTTACTGTGCACAAAGAGCTGTTGCCCTTTCTCTGTTTTCTGTGATAGGAGCTATGGTGTCCGAGGGCCGCTGAGGCAGCGCGGTCCTAAATGGGAGGGCCTGGATGGGAAGAGAGGGTGACGATGGGCTTCAGTGACGTCACGCGCTGCGTCGATAACCATTCCGCCTGCTCCAGACTGCGGCGGGCAGAGTGGCTTGTAACAGAAATGGCGGAGGGGGAGTTGGACGTCGATTCTTTGATTTCCAGGCTTTTAGAAGGTGAGATTACAGATATTGTACCATCATATTATCCAGTTGGTTTGGCTTTAGTCCTTAAGGGTTATTTAGGTGTCGTTTTGAATCGAGTCAACAAGAAGAAGGCCCGATTTACTTGCAAGCATAGCCCGGGTTTTAGTGAACACGGCTACTAGTCCCGTCTGTCGAAATTACAGGCACACCTTTAGTTAGTCGACGCCTCTCTTTCTGGTGTCTTTTTTTAAGATGAGGTTAGTTATGTATATAATAAAAGTTGAGGTTATTTTCGTAAAGTAAATTTTGAGTGTTAAAGTGTGGGCTGATGGTTAAGTGGTAACAAAGTTGTAGCTGGAGTATTGTTGTTTGTACCCGGCAGGTCCGGTAATGGAGGGAACGTTGGACCAACCTTAACTGGTGCAACTTATTGTTGCGATCCTAGTTACACGGTTAGTGGTGCCATCACTTTGACATGTAGCGTACAAAACACCAGCGTAGCTGCCTCCACAACCTAAAACCCACTATCACAGGCTGTTCCTATATTACCACAAGCTTTTTACAACCAAATACACCAAAGTGGGCGGTAGGTTGTGGTGCAGTCCTAAAAGCGGACATTTCTTTTTAAAGCATTAAAACAAAGTGTAGCTTGGTGAATCAAGTATGCCGACAGTTTCAACACAATCTATGCTCTGAAGACATGTTTGAAATTTTTGTTCTAACGTGTTTCTAGGAGGTTAGCTTCTAATCAGGAGATAAAATACCAAGTTTTCAAATGGGGTTTGGCCTAGGAACCTCTCAGCTGAACAAAGAGGCACGTCACAGGGTTGTGGTGTTTATATGCGAATTTTGCTGAATGGTCATGTTTACACAAGCCGCAGGCCTTGATAATTTTTCACTTTAAATAAACCTGCAGAGTTTGTACCTTGTAACTATTTTAAGTAACCTTTGGTTTCTAAAACCCCAGGTATTTTGTAATCCCTAAGCCAGTGTTTTAAATGAAGTTTTAAAGTTTCCTTTACTTCTGTTAAACGGAACAAGGTTTTACATCAGTGCAGCTGCTGATACACTGTCTACTGAGCTTAATTATACATCAGCCATAGAAGAAGAAGCTTTCCTACTGAGCTTAATTATCATACATCAGCCATAGAAGAAGAAGCTTTTCCAGGTTTAACTGTGTCTATAATGCAATTCTGTCTACTCAGGAAGTTAATCAGGTTTGCTTTTCTTAATGCTGATAGTTTGAGTCTGTCACTGCACAAAGGTTAACATTTGAACTACAGAGAAAGTGTTGGTGTTACCCCTGCACCATTGTTTTGTGTTGGTTATCAGTGGATGACTTTCTTAGCAGTGCTAAATAAGAGATCCTGGCACAGATGAGCTGATCTGAGACCGTGTTCCCTTGGTGTCTTCAGTAAATATGTTGACATGTAGCCCAGGCAGTGGGCTCTCTCTCTCTCTCTCTCTCTCTCTTTCTCACACACACACAGATTCATTGTGATGAAAATCACACAGAAACATTGTTTATCGGCTAATCTAATGGTCTGGATTGATTAGGACTGGTTACATAATAGTGCTTGTTGGCTCTTTGTGTGTGTGTTCTTGTACTTGCTGCTGAAGACTAAACAAAGTATTTTTTGCTACAGAGTGAAGACATTTTGACTGGTCCTCATTTTCTGAAACACCTTTTTGAAGGTTAAGACTTGGCTTTAGGGTTCAGGTTAGGTGTTAGGCATTTAGTTCTGATGGTTAAGGTTACAGTAAGGAGCTAGGGAATGAATTATGTCAATGAGTGGCTTCACAAAAATAGAAGTACGTGTGTGTGTGTATGTCAGCTCTATGGTAACAGCAGTGTGAGTCTGCATTGTCAGCTGGGCATGGCGATGCTGGAGCTAGTTAGCTGGCTTTGAATTTAGATTTTTTTTTTAATGCAGTGACCAGAAAACCTCACTGGAGGAAATTGGAGGGATCTGGTCCTAAAGGCTTCCAGATGTGAGCTGCAATATAGTGTATCCATCCATCCATCCATCCATCTCCTGTCAGCCACTTTCTCTCTCCATCTCCAGGTAGTTTATATTCAGCTGGATCAGAACCACAGTTTAATCAGTTTTAATGTCAAAAATGTATGTTTAGATGATTGTTTAGTGTTAATTGTTGTTCTTAGCTAAAGGGCTGGATAACCATGTCCCTGTCCCTTAATTACACCTGCAAGCACAGATGTGCTTGAGAAAATGTTCTCCGTGTTCTGCTTGCAGCTTTGAAACATGGTCTTCATTAGCAGAAGAGGGATTGTAGATGTTCAAGTCTTTTCATGTTGGGTGAGGTTAGTTTACATAAACAACTGTTTGATCAACATAGGGCTGCTGGTTAATCATTTTCTTTATCAGTTCATCTATTTTCTGATCAGCTACCAACTATAATATCTGAGGAAAGACCTTACCATAGTCATTGCATCAGGTGCAAGAGGTGACTGTTCAGCAACTAAGATGATACTAGTCTCACTCCTGAAGACATATTTGGGCCCTACACAGGAGGACATACAAAGGCCCACACTCAAACTCTTCCTGTGTCGGCTTATACAGGCTACATTTTATTTTAAGACTTGACCTTTCAGCAACACAAAGCCCCCTCACAGGCCTGTCCTTCTTGATGAAACCTTGATACCCCTCATCTTGGTTTACTTAACTAGATTACATCCACAGCCCGCTTTCATTTAGACGTCTACTAAGCGGCCTGTCAGTGGCTTTCTCCTGACATGAAATACAAGAAGCTCACAATGTTTTCACTTTGCGGCACCAGGGCCTCATTTCTTCCTCACTGCAGGAATAAAGGAACTTTTCCATATGGCGTGAAGGGCTTTCCTTAACCACTGGAGCAGGAGGTTTTTTGCTGCGCTCCGGTGCCAGGCAGGAGCAGACATACTTGTACACACAGACACACCAGTGGAGAGCTCTCTGATCTCTTATTAAATGTCAACAGGCACAGCTGTCCCCTGTAGAAATGACCCCCCCCCCCTTGTGGCGACACATACATGGGGGGTGGGGTGGGGTTGTTGGAAGGGCAGTAATCTAGTACAGTAGAGATGAAACTCAGTTCTTCTTTGTACCACTGCTGTAGGACTTTGCTTGCGTACAGGGATGTTGGGATTATTCTTAGGGTGCTACAAGTGGTATTTTGTATTTGTTTTTCTAGCCTACGTGGCTAAAACATTTTTATTTTAATCAAATAAACTTTATTCTCTGTAACAGAAAAGTGGAAGATGTGCAGTGCTTAAGAGACAAACTAATTTAAGATACATTTCTTGTGTATTCATGATGTAGTAAGTGCATACATAAACAGGAAGTACTTAAAACAATGTGTATTTTATTTCTCTCTATTTCTTTGCGTGACTTGCTTTAATTTAGGTTAGAGCTGGGCGATTACTTGAAACTTATTTTTGGCTTCCAAAACAATTATGTAGACAAAATAACTGAGCTAAAACAATTATTGTGCCACATTCCATTTCGCAATGATACTCTTGTCTTGTCTTGTGTTATAAATCCAGCACACCGCTTCAGCACAAGCATGTTTTGCTCGCATCAGGTGAAGTTAAGCTAAAACTGTAAAATGAGAGCGAGAGAGGCCTGTGTCATGGTGAGTCCAGCACATTCTTTAGGTTATGACAACAATAGGCTATTTATTAGCCTGAAGTGATCAAGTTTATTTGTAAAATAAATACAGATTATTGGCCTAAGTAAGTTCCTCTGAACTGTCAATCACAATTAGGCGCACAGTCAGCTGACTAAGATGTCCAGATTCATACAAATATCAAATACGTTTGACATAAAATGTATGTTGCTCAGTTTTCACATGCTCTAAGATTTTCACCTCTGCATCAGTGTTGTTGCCCTCGCCTGCATTTAATACTGATGTGTTCCTGTAGAACTGCAAACAAACCTGTTCACTGACACTGTGCATTTACTACATGTTAATCCAGTCAGAATCAAGAATTATTCATTTGTGTGCCATGGTATTATTCCTGTAACTCGTTCTTTTAAAAATGTGAGAACAGCCACAGTTTTCATCCAACAGCAGGGTCGATGTTACCACGCTGGTGTGTGCACAGGTGGTCATTTGGTCAAGTGGTTTGTTTTTATTAAGTTATTTGATCATATAAGCAGGAAGTGATGATGCATCATCCACCTTTACAGAGGCAGGCATACATCAGCAGTTTGTTTTTATCTACAACACAAGAGCAGTGTTTGTGGATTGCTCTGAAAATGAAAATGAAACCCAGTCTTTTGGCTTTGCCTAGAGGAAAAGGTGCAGCTTCAAATGTGCCAGCCACAGTCTCTGGATACCCAAAGACACATAGTGTGAATGTGTCCTTCAGCAGTTGTTTGCTGGGGCGGTGAGGGGTTGACAGGCGTTGTCCAGCTGACTGAATGACAACATGGTTTACCATCCGTGGAGCCTCCTCATTGTGCAGGCGTCTGGCCTCTGTGGGTTCCTTTGTCACTGTGACTTATTTGTTGTCATTTGCTAGTCTGGTGAGTCAAAGGGTGATCAACACAGTGATGTAGAGGTATGGCATTTATATGTCAGTGGTTGTGTCTGGGTGTTAATATTATGCATTCAGTTTGCCTGGTAAATGTTGCTCATGAACATATCAGTTGTTCAGTTCCGTCACTGGTTCCACTGCAGTATCACGGGAACATGACGCCTCTTGGCTTCATGGCATCGGTGGCTGCATGCACATTAGGAATCTGTATCTCTAAAAGCACCAGCATTTATTCCCAGTGCAAACGGGATCCTGACTCTATCATCCCGCATGTATTCTTGACTTAAGTTATTTAGGTGTGCAATCCTCAGGGTGTGATGTCCTGTGATGGTGCAAAGAAACCAGTACAGTGACAGTCACGTTACACAGTACTGCATAACAAATCAGTCAGTCGTCTGCTGTTTTGAATGATTTTCAGTAGCATTTTTACTATGGTGGGTTACAATTGATATTGCATTTCTTTTTGCAGGATTCATAGCAATCCTTCGGT